TCCCTGGACACCGGCCATGGCAGAAAAAGGGCAAAGGAAAAGGAAGAAAGGGCAGAAACTCTCGTGATCGCTCTATACTAAATAGGACGTATAATGGGATGGAATACTGTCCTTAGTCACCTGTCCTGTCTGTTACCCCCGGAGGTGCAACCTTTTACTTCCTTGTGACCCCTCTTACTATCCGGCACCCCCAGCGTGGCACACAAGAGCCAGCAGTGGCCTTGGGCACTACAGGAGTAAGTATCAGCCTTTCTGCATCCCAGTCCCCGGCAGTGACTGTAACCATCAGGTGTTATCCCTGCCAGGAGCACACGCTGTCTGCAGAAACATGCTGCTGACTTCAGAAAGTGCAGCCCTTTAGAAAAGACTAAACTGGAAAGTAAAAATCGCAAAACAGAACTGCGGTTTTTAGCTAAAACCAGGACACTCCCATGCCCCGATTCCCTATTCCTTCAAAACACCCTCTGGCCATACCTTTTCCCTGTTCCGTGTGTTAAGGCTGTAAAATTAATGATAAGAACGGCTTGATTTCCAGATCCTCGCAGCAGGGAGCAGGCAGTGGGGATGGCAGTCACAACAGTGCGGCGGCAGAGACACCCTCTGGCGAAGACTTCAGGTAGAGCCAGTCTGCGGAACAGCACAATCGCCTGTAACACCCCTTTTTGAAGTCTTTGCTGTTAGGTGAATAGTAAGCAAGTACGCTCAAGCCCCTTCAAAGCTGAAATCTCTGTGGAAGCATACTGAAGCCCCCTGGGTGCTTTCTCTAGAATACCTAGGGAGTGGACACAAATACCAAGCTCAAATAATGTGTTGAACGTAAACTGTTACCTTTGAGTTTCAACTCTGTTTTCTTTGCTACTAATTGACATTTATGTACTGACTTAGGTCTATCTGTAGATAATAGATAATTAAGATTTATCAAACCATTTTAAATTGACATCCTATCTTTACAAAAGCTCTATAATGGGGCGATTGCTCTGTATTACAACTAGGGCAGCGTAGGAAAAAAGAGGAAAAGTGACTTGGTCGTAGCTGCTGAGGAGTTCAGCCTCAGCTGACACCACAACTCCAGATACCTGGTGAAGTGAGCAAACCACTGACTGCAGTTCTGATGGGCCAGAAGTCACAGAGCGAGTTAGCTGTAAGCTAGAGAGAGAGCAGAGTGGTGCCCTTTCTAGAAGTAGGTGGTTCTGTACTTGTTCGAGCAACGAAACAATAACATTTGCTTTTTGCTAATGATTTCTTCTTGTTTTTTAAAGCCTCTCCTTGCTGGACACTAACTTACCAGCTGAAGCAGAGACTGAATTGCGCAGTTTTATTGCTAAGCGTCTTACTAAAGGAGCCCTGTTTGAAGGAATGGGCAATGTAGCATCAGTGGGGCTGAGGTAAATAAAAAAATTATTTGTGGATGAGAAACTGTAAGAAACATTGGCAGCATTGCAGATCTTGCCATCTGTTGCTGCACTTAGGTTTAATCCTGGTTCCATGTTCTCAGTCTATGCTGGTGTTAACAGCTATGTGCAATGGCACTTGCTTCTTTTTCTAGGTAGCTTTAATAAAAATATTGTAGTAAATAATTTGTTTGAATACTTAAAAAAATACTACATGGATTTATGACCATTTTCTTTTAAACTACCCTGAGAAACTTTTAAACTACCTCTGAGTGGACAGAGGAAAAAAGAGAAGGTCTAAGAGCTCTGTATATGACCATAAGAGTCACCAGAGCTAGCGGGTAAAAATTCTTTACAGAAGTCATATATATCTGCTTTTTGCACTTAGTTATCATGATGTATCTGTAACAAAATAATTCTTTTTTTTTTCTTTTCTGCATAGCATACCAGAATATAAAGTTAGTTGTTATTACTGTCGTTTTCAACAAGAAAATCTTCTAGAAATGGCAACACTGGAATCAGACGTCAGTGCTCCAGAATATGTGGTTTGTTTCTTAGGTGGCTCAGAGAAAGGTCTAGAGCTATATCCTTGCCTTTAACTTCCTTTACCTGATGTGGAGAGGGAGACAGTGTAAAAATTCTGTTCTCATTTTGTCCATTTCCTACTCGGAGTCAGCTCATTTGTGCACAGCTTCCAGTAACTGAAAATGTCAGTACCAGCCATATTCTGAAAGGGGAAAAAGCACGTCTTAACTGGTGCATCTTATTTTCCTTAAGAAGATACTTTCAGACTTGAACTGGACAAATACATTCAAGGTCTGAAGATAAGCCTTGGTTTGGAGGTAAAGCCTACCTTTTTTTTTTTTTTTTTGAGTGGTGAAAATTACTAGTTATGCAAATTAATTACTAAGACAATCTGGAAGATTTAGTGTACAGACACAAAATAGGTGTTTTAAGTACCAGTATGAAACATGTGAGAGATACTTGATTCACTGTAGTGGCAGTGAATGTCTAAAGTTCTATCAACCACTCAAGTCAAAAAGGAAGAGAATGGTGGGGGAACTTTTTGTACCAGTCCTAAATCTCTTAAAGGTTACCTGCAGTTAGATTCAGAGAGAAGAATGACTAATAAAAGATAACAGTCTACAGTAAAGTTATCAATGTCCACCTGCATTCTTACCACTTCTGAATGTTAAGGATTTTTAAGTTTTCTTATAACAATTTTTCTAATGGAAACTCTGATTTTAAGTCTCTTTCCCATCCTGGCTGCTGTTGCATGATCTTTGCTCAGTATATACTGTACTATTACAGTTTTGTCTATTTCTTGAAATGTAAAGCCCTTCATTGCTGATAAAGCAATTTGTAGAAATCTAATCTGTAGTTAAAATTTTAATGTTTAAACTTGTTACAGGAAAAAAACTTGGAGACCTGTGTTAACCCCTACTTGAGGAGTTGGTTTGAGAATGCCGTGTGTCCTATTCAGAGAGTAGTACAGCTCTTCCAGGAGAAACTTGCCTTTTTGTTACATGCTGTAAGTGTATTTCAAACTGGATAAGTCCAACATTTGCTTTCCCTGCAAAATGAGGAACAACTTTTTTGTTCTTTTTTTTTTTTTTTTTTAAAATTCAAGGCAAGTACTTTTTCATTGCTTTGTAGCTAAGGAGGCACATAGCAATTTCCTCTCAATTTTTGTAGTTAACTCTTTTCAAATTACATAGCAGTGTCCAAGTTGAAATAAAAATGAGAGAATTAGAAACAGCATGATAAAGCTGTCCCTGCTATAATTCCTCTGAACCAAAAGGGATGTTATATTGCATATGTGCCTCGTGGAATTCGCTGGAAACCTAAAAAATAAATTAATCCTAGCTCTAGTCCCTGAGCTTGAGGAGGCTTTGGATGGAATAGATGCTGTATTTCTTCCGAATGCAGCACCAGCTGCAATGACTATAATATAGTGTATTCCCTTAGCTTCTACTCTTTCTCTGAAAAGAACAGTTTTTAAAGTACCACATTATGTATTTATTGCTAGTGACTGCAATATAGCAACAGAAGTGATATCAAAGCTGCATCTAGCTTTCTGAATTTTTTTTTGTTTGGTTGGTGTTTTTTTTTTTAAGGCTTTGAGTTATACTCCTGTGGAAGTAAAAAATGCAGATGAGAGAACAGAAAAAGACATTATCAGGTAAAGATACTTTGAGACCAAGGAACCTGTGAGTAGCTTGGCTTTCGTGCATGACAGCCTCCCGTTTGTGCTGTTCAGGAATTGTAAAGAAGCAGGCAGTTCACCAGAGCTTTTTCTGGCAGGTTTTTGGCAGCTGCCAGCCTCCAAGGACTTGTTCAGGAAGGCACCATGACCTCCTTGTGTATTGCCATGACTGAGGAACAGCACAAGTCAATGGTTATAGACTGTAGTGGACCCCAGCCTCAGCTGCATAATGCAGGTGAGATTACAGCTGTGAATACTTGTTGTTACTCACTTGCATCCCTCAGCTGCTGAGAGTTATGGACATTAGAAATAGTTGGGGAAATTCAGGAGCTCATAGGTTCATGCCCAGAAAGTTTGGATTCTGTCTGGAAACACCTGTTTTCCCATGAGTCAGCAGAGTAGTTTCTTTCACCAGACACGCTGGAACTCTGTTTTGAAGATGACTGATAATAAAATCCAGTTGTGTTTAGTTTGCAGACCATGAAACTATGACTTACTTCAGGGAAGCTGCAAAACTTTCTTCCTGTTGTATTTTTGACAACTGTTGTGGAAAGAGATTCAGCAATCAGAACAGAATTTCATGTAATCACTGTAGCTATATTTGCTTTTCTTTTCCACATGCATTGTTTTTCTGAAGATTTATTTCCTGGCCCAAGTATACTATTACAGTTGTCATGTGAGAGTGATTAAACCAGGTGAATGCAGCTGTATATTTATGTTGAACCCGTTTACTTTTCCTCTTCTCTGTGTTCCTGAACACGTAACAGGAAGCAACAAATTCTGCGAGGACTGGATGCACGCCTTTGTGAATGGTGCTGAAGGCGGAAATCCATTTCTCTTCCGTCAGATTTTGGAAAACTTTAAATTGAAGGTACCTGTTCGTATATGTTCAAGATTTGGAGAAGACGTCAGAGTTATTGAGGGAGCAAATACTCTTTTTGCAGCAAAGAAAACTTTTAGGTTGCTTGTGATGTCTGTGTGTCATTAGCTCATTAACTGTTCCAGCCTGGAAAAGAGAAGGCTGCAGGGAGACCTTACGGCAGCTTCCTGTACCTGAAGGGGCTACAAGAAAGCTGGGAAGGGACTTTTTACAAGGCCTGTAGTGACAGGATGAGGGGTAATGGGTGGCAGCTGGAAGAGCGCAGATTTAGTAGACTAGATCCAGGGAAGAAGTTCTTGACCCTGAGGCTGGTGAGGCACTGGAACAGGTGGCCCAGGGAGGCTGTGGATGCTCCGTCCCTGGAAGTGCTCACGGCCACATTGGATGGAGCCTTAGGTGACCTGATCTAGTGGGAGATGTGCCTGCCATGGCAGGGGGGTTGGAACGAGATGGTCTTTGAGGTCCCTCCCAACCCAAACCATTCTATGGTTCTGTGATTCTTGAGCCGTAATATAAAATTCCCGTTGGAAATGCTTTTGCTTCTGCTATTTAAACTAGGTTCAAAGGGGGAAGGGGATAAAACCAGGCTCACCACAGGCAAGTGAGGGGGAAGTATTTCAGGGTTAGGGGTGAAAGCAATGGCCCAGCTCAAGTGCATCCACACCAACGCGCACGGCATGGGCAATGGTAACAGATACTCCTCAGTTAAGCCTCTAAAGTGTCTGTATACCAGTGCAAGAAGCACGGGGAGTAAGCAGGATGAACTAGAAATCTGGGTGCAGTCAAAGAGCTACGATCTCACTGTGATTACAGAGACGTGGTGGAATAGCTCACATGGCTGGAATGTGGTGACGGATGGCTCTGTGCTTTTCAGGAAATACAGACTGACAAGGCGTGGTGGTGGAGTTGCTCTCTACATGAGTAAGCAACTAGAATGCATTGAGCTTAATGTAGTGGGAGAGGGTGAGGGTGTTGAGGGCTTATGGGTAAGAATTAAGGGATGTGCAAACATGGGAGGTAGTGTTGTGGGTGTCTGCTGTAGACCGCCTAACCAGGAAGAGGTTGTTGACGAGGCCTTCTACAGGCAGCTGGAAGTAGCCTCAAGATCATGTGCCCTGGTGCTTGTGGGTGACTTTACCATGGTATTAATTGGAAGGATCACACAGCCAAGCATAATCAGTCCAAAAGGTTCCTGCAGTGCATTGATGGTAACTGCAGGTGGTTGAAGAGTCAACAAGGAAAGGTGTGATGCTGGACCTTGCATTAACAAACAAAGAGGGTCTGGTTGCAGATGTTGAGGCAGGAGGCGGTCTTGGCTGTAGTGACCATCATACGTTAGAATTCAGTATTGTTAGGGAAGGAAAGAAGGTAGTAAGCAAAATTTCTAGCCTGGACTTTAAGAGGGCTAACTTTGTGCTCTTCAGAGATATACTTAGTAGTATCCCATGGGCTAGGCTTCTGGAAGGTAGGGGGGCACAAGAGAGCTGGTCAGTATTCAAACTCTGCCTACACTAGGCTCAAGATGAATGCGCTCCCTCTAAAAGAAAATCAAGTAGAGGAGGC